AGGACTCTGTACCACAGAGCAGACAGCGTCCCCACTAGCTCAGGAGCCAGGCAGAAGGAGAAATCCCACACAAGACAGGCTCTAGAGCAATGTGGATATCCTAACTGGGCCTTCCTGAAAGCAGAGAAGAAACCCAAACAGGACTCCAGTCAGCCAACAGGTGAAAAGGAGGAACCCAGACCCAGACCAGTGGTCATTCCATATGTTGAGGGAGTATCAGAGAAACTGAGATGTTTATTTTCTAAACATAACGTCCCAGTGGCTTTTAAACCCCAAAATACATTACGGCAAAGACTGGTTCATCCCAAAGATCCAGTCCCCCGGCACAAACAGAGTAATATTGTGTATGTTGTTCAGTGTCAGGAGGGCTGTGATCAGTCTTACATCGGGGAAACTAAACAGCCACTAGCCAAAAGGATGGACCAGCACAGAAGATCAACATCATCAGGCCAGGACTTTGCGGTCTACACTCATCTCCAGGCCAGCGGTCACTCTTTCAGGGATGAAGATGTGCACATCCTGGATAGAGAGGAACGATGGTTTGAGAGAGGAGTAAAGGAGGCCATCTTTGTGAAAAGAAATCGTCCATCATTAAACAGGGGTGGAGGCCTACGTGTTCAACTGTCCCCCTCTTACAATGCTGTGATTGCTAGTATCACTCAGCCCTCTGTGAACAGTAAACAGCCATCAGTGTGCTAATGATCCATTGTTAGGCTGATGGTCCTTCTTGAGCATGTGATCAGCTGGTTTTGGTTGTCAGCAGCAAAACTGGTTGATCCACTCTGAGAAGGTGCTATTTAAGAGACTGAGCTGAATACAGCACCTCAGACTGAGGAAGTCTCTCGGATGAGAGACGAAACGTTTCTACATTTTTTTGTGTTGTTTTGCTTTGTTTTGTTTTCTTGAATGTCCAGAGGACCAGATTTAACTTTTTTAGATTAACTCTACAGAGTTACTGTTTTTGGCACCAGTGTCAAATAATCAAATGTTTACTCCCTCAGTAGTTGATACAGCTTTTGACACCTGTGTCTTGAGGGGAGTAAATTCACTTTATGATCTCTATTAGTACAGAATTTTAATATTAGCATGTCACAGTTTTTCAAATATTTGTAGCTGAGACATTTTGTGAGGTCTAATTGATTGTCTTCATCTGTACCCCTCTAAACATTTATGGCTAAGATTTTGGAATGTAGGTCTGATACCAAGGGAACCCTCAGCAAGATCATACACTGCTCAGTTCATATCATGAGACCAGTTTGGACTCGCTTAAACTAAAATGGGAAACAGACTTGGAGGAATCCATATCAGACTTCATTTGGAGAAATGCTGTAATTCAATTCAAGGTAAGTCTTTTGAATTAAAGACAAAACGCTTCATCAAGTTTTTTTGTTTGTTTGTTTGTTTGTTTGTTTGTTTGTTTGTTTGTTTGTTTGTTTTAACCTTTCCAGAGGACCTGACTTAACTTTTTTAGATTTTTCTACCTGGATTATTGAGCATGCACCAGGATATAAATTCAAGGTGGTACACCAGCTGCACTGGTCCAAAGACAAGCTGTCCAAGACCACAGCCAACCTGGACCCTGCATAATGTCATAATTGTAAACAAACTCCAGCTACACTCCTACATATATTCTGGACCTTTTTTGTGTTCTTTGTGTTCACCTTTTTGTTTGTATGTTCAAAATATTTTTTAAAAATCAAATAAAAGACTTTGTTTAAAACAAAAACTACAATTAAACAAGTTGGAAAAGTTAGTAAGTAAGCTGTTCCACTTTGAAAGGTTTTAAAATGAGAAAAGCTAGTTTCCAAAAAAAACAAGAGCAAGTAAAGAATGGCCTTCTACAAGTATATTGACAGTAAATAGCATCAAGCAACAACAGCCACAGCTGTCCCATCTGATCAGAAAGCAGCAGCACTCACCTCCACCACTTGCTGAGCATGGACGTTTGGGACCAGTGAACGTGACTTGTCTGTTTGCAGGTTGATGAGAAGTTACTGAATGTGTCCGACTTCCTGCCCAGGGGCGACCCCTTCCCATCTGCGAGGAGGAAGAGGAAGAGGAGGTGGGGCAGGGTGGTGCACTCCAAAAACAGCTTCACTGTCCAATTTATTCCCAATAACAATGTTCTCTCATTTAATGAAACATCTAATGAAACATTAGATGTTGTAACTGTTATCTAAAAAAAAAAGGGGGGGGGGGGGGGGACATCTCCTGTTCAGAAAACTACTAAATTTAAAATATTTTAATATATTAATAAATATTATAATGTTATTTTGATATGCTGCCTATCGTGGTGCTCTAAGATTCATAACTATAATGTCATAAATTATAAATAATGTGTTCAACATAATGGTACTTCCTCCAGTTATTTAACAGTCAACAATGGTGTACCACAAGGCTCAGTCTTAGGACCCCCCTCTTTACAATCTACATAGGTAATGTAGGTCAAAACATCCCTGATGCATCCATACATTTCTATGTTGATGACACAGTTATGTATTGTCAAGCTAAAACAGTTGATAAGGCTTTCCAGCTTTTGAAATCTGCATTTGACATTATACAGACAGATTTGTTCCACCTCAAACTTGTCCCAAATGCCGACAAAACCAAAGGGATGCTTTTTTCAAATAGGACGTTGGTCCCAGCAGTTCTTCCTCTGATTTCATCCTCATATGGTGTCCCAATTGAGTTTGTTGATTCCTATAAATATTTGGGTATCTTGGTTGACTCGCATCTCTCTTTTAAGCTCCATGTGGAAAACTTGATAAAGAAACTGAAAGTTAAACTGGGTTTCTTTTTCAGAAACAGATCCTGTCTAACTCTGAATGTTAGGAAACGCCTTGTATCTGTGACCTTCCTTCCCTTCATTGATTAAAGTGACATTATTTACATAAACACTCCTACAAGAACCCTGCCGATGTTGAATGCTGTCTATAATGGTGCACTAAGATTCATAACTGGCTGTGATTATCGTACCCACCACTGCACCCTGTATTCACTGGTTAACTGGACATCATTAACTTCACTCAGACTCTATCACTGGTACACTTTCATCTTTAAATCACTTCTTGCTCTACTGCCTTCATACATCTCCTCCTACATGTCTCTGTGTGAGTGCAGCTACAGCGTGCACTCTCAGGACATTATTACCTGCAGTGTTCCCTCATTGCGGACTGAACTAGGCAAAAGGGCCTTCTCCTACTCCGCTCCTGTTTCCTGGAATATCTTATAAAAAGATTTGAAGCTCTCGACCTTGACCTCTCTAAGTGGCTTTAAGAATCTGTTGGACTCCTGGCAAGGACCAATGCAGACATGTTCCTGTTTTTAGTTTTCTACATTCACCTTAGAATCTAGCTGTTTTTTGTTACTTTTTTGGCCACCTTATTTGTAAAAAAAAATAAAATCTGTATGCCTTTTGTGTGGCTGTCTATTGTTGTCGCTGTTGTCCATTGTTGTCGTCATTCTTTGTTCAAATCAGGTCTCTCTTGTAAATGAGTCCTCAAGGATCAATGGGATTTACCTGTCTAAATAAAGGTTGAATGAATAACTGGCTGTAACTGTGTGCGCATAGGGAGGAATTCTGCCCAGCATTCGGGCAATCATGCTGCCCAGAACGACCGAGATGCCAGCAAGATCTGACAGCCAGCTCGATCCGGGTGGTTGGATCAGTATTTGTGGCCAGATTCTTTGGATTCGCTGCAGGAGATACTTCCTGCCCACAGCTAGCATCTATAACATTTGTGTCAAACTCAAGGCCCGGGGGCCGAATGTGGCCCTCACTGACATCTTATCTGGCCCCCAAATTGATATGTGAAACACAAAATACTTCTCTCTCTTGAGTTTTTTCAGTAATCTTTGATTATAATGTCAAAAGCACAACAGAGAACATCATATGAGACCAATCAAACTCTTGTTGAGGAGCCTGTGATCAAGAAAATATGCTGGGTATCTGATTTGAGCTCATGTAGATTCTGAAATTGGCCCTTAATTTGAAAAAGATTTTAATTTTGGCCCCCTTTTGTAAATGACTTTGACACTCCTGATCTACAACAACTCTTGAATGAAACTAGGATGATGAGCTACAACAACACCTAATTTCTCTTTGGGATTAATAATGTATTTTTGAATTTGAATTTGAATATGAACTTTCGTACCCATCATTGCATCCTGTATTCACTGGTTAACTGGTCATCATCAACGCAGACTCTCTCACTGGTACATTTTCATCTTTAAATCACTTCTTGGTCTGCTGCCTTCATACATCTCTTCCTACATGTCTGTGCATGAGTGCAGCTACAGCGTGCGCTCTCAGGACATTATTAACTGCAGTGTTCCCTCAGTGCGGACTGAACTTGGCAAAAGGGCCTTCTCCTACTCTGCTCCTGTTTCCTGGAATATCTTGCAAAAAGATCTGTAGCTCTGACGGTGTCAGTACATGTATTAATGTAACCCAGAACTGAGGATGTGTATTGGTCCAGATAAAGCGATTCTCCATTTTCAGCAGCTTCTCTGAAAACCTGCCAGTCTGTTCGATCAAAACAATCTCTCAGTATTGGACCACTGTCCTGGATCCAACATTAAACTTTCTTTTGTACCGGTCTGGAGCGTCTCAGCGGGGGCATGTAAGCAGGAGCCAGGAAGATTGAGATGTGGTCTGACAGTCCTAGGTGGGGGCGGGGTTCGGCTTTGTATGCATCTTTTATGTTTGTGTAAACACGGTCCAGTGTGTTGTTCCACGTGTTGGATTTGCCACATGCTGATTAAAGCTTGGGAGACAATCCTTTAGATTCACATGATTAAAGTATTTCTGACAGAACTTAAACCTTAAATTGTACCTTTAACTTACAGACAATGTTAAACTGAGGTATGGTCAATAGCTCAAGTTAATGCTGAATGCATGTTATTGATCTGTCAGTACACTGGGATGACACACCTTGCACTCCGGCCCAGTAGGTGGCAGAAGAGCGTTGTGCTGCAAACAGAGGTCAAATGAAGAGGAAGCAGACGCGGCCGAGACGTGGCACCTAAACACAGACAGGAAGAAATACTTTCAGCTGTATGATGACAGCCACTGGAGCCGCTTTCCATCTGAATTTGAGTCGTCTGTTTAAATGACAGCGTACATCATTAACCTAAAACAAACGGATATTTAAGCGTTTCAGCGTGACAGGTAAATAATGATGTTTTGCTGCTTTCTTTAGCTTCCTCGGCTAGCATCGTTAGCTCGCTAACGTTTCCTCAGCTGACATCTTGGCAGCTAACTGGTGTTAGCGCTGATAAATGCTGGAGTTTAGCTCGCTGAATGTGTTAAACATAACACTTAAGCGAAGAAGATGATTTATTACCCTGCTAAATGTTTTTCAGTAGCTTTCTAACGTTGTAAAAGACTTTAATTTGTTATAACGCGCAGGTGCAAGTTGGGGAGAGTAGCATGAAGAGCTAGCTGTCAGCGCTGGTAACTTGTTTCAGTCAACATTAGCCTCACATTTCACTGAGTTACTGTACTTATAATTGAAGAACTGTAAATAGTATTTAAATCAGGCCTGTTTTATTCTTATGTTTTATTTATAACCTAAAGATACATTTTTTTGAGACTTAAACTTTTGAAATGAACTGAATTAAGTGACAAAAATACCAACTTTTCTTGCAAATATAGCTACAGTTCTCTGAAAACAAGTCATGCAATAGTTCATTTGTGTTGAAACACAAATTACATAACTCCAATTTGTTTTGCTTATTTTAGATAAAACTCAACATCATCTGATTAGGTCATTCAGGGTATCACAGGTCTTCTTTAAAAACTTTTAGGTGATATATATATATTTTACATTTACATATATGATGAAATATTTACACTGCATATCCCATATCATCACACTTTTAATTATATATACAGGAACTTTCTGTGCTGTGTTTTTGTCCATAATGTGTTGAAGGGGTTTCTTTTTTGTGGAATGTTTGGTATCTCAGTCCTCACCCAGAGGACGTGTTCTTAACCAACTCCATATAAAGACTGTTTGTTTGTCCTCGTCTCAGCGCATGTTGCTATGGGTCTCTGCAAGTGTCCCAAGAGAAAGGTGACCAATTTATTCTGCTTTGAACATCGTGTGAACGTGTGCGAGCACTGCCTTGTTTCCAACCACAACAAGGTAAGTGTGTGTGTGTGTGTGTGGGGGGGGGGGGGATGCAGCATCTCACAATGTTTATTCAAAGTTTGCAGCTTTGCATTAACATTCTGTGTTTCGACATGTTGCTTTTCAGTGTATTGTACAGTCTTATCTGCAATGGCTTCAAGACAGCGATTACAATCCAAACTGCACTCTGTGCAATACTCCACTGAACACACAGGACACAGTCAGACTGATCTGCTATGGTAAGATTGTCCAGTCATTCATACCTGTTCTAGGAGGTTTTTACAGGAGTTTATATCTAATTCTAAAGCAATACTATAAATGAGTTTTACCTGTTCAGAATTTACAGCCAACCTTCTTTTTTTTTTTTTTTTAGATGTGTTTCACTGGGCATGTCTTAATAGCTTGGCATCTCGGCTGCCCCTCCACACAGCCCCAGCAGGGTATCAGTGTCCCACCTGCCAGGGTGCACTCTTTCCCCCCTCTAACCTGGCCAGCCCGGTGGCTGATGTGCTGAAAGAGCAGCTGTCCTCTGTTAACTGGGCTCGGGCTGGCTTAGGATTGCCTCTGGTAATGGGCTACTATTGTTAAGATATTTGTTGTATTAAAACAAATAAACAGGGATGTTGATTAATGTTATAACGTGTGATTTTGGCAGATTCAAGAGCCTGTTGGGGTCCTTGAAGAGACAACTAATAGTGTGTCTGATTATACGGACTGGTCAACGTTTGATGGTGAGTTTTACACTTTACATTTAAAGACATAAGTTTGTCTATTTAGATGTGGGTTTCTGTGTAAAAGTGATAACATCTTGCTCATTGTAGATTGCTTCTTGAACATTTGGAGAAATATAATTTAGGCTTAACACTAACAACAGAGCTAACAACTAGTCTGAATGTGGCCAGAACCATAGTGGTGGCTGTCTTTAAAAAACATTTTCACTCTATTTTATATACCACTTACACTGCCTCTAATGTTGCATCATGTGGTCATTTGAAAGCACGAATAGCAGCAGTAGCAGCTTTAAGTAGCACTTTGGGGCATTTAAGGGTCACACCTGGAGGAATTTTATGAGAAACTGACAGTGGTGAACTGTCTGAGTTTTAAAATGGCCAAAGCCACTTTAAGGATGGGGCTTTGGGACTGTAGTGTTACACTGATGAATTCAATTTCAACTTTACTGCCTTTAACATAGCTCAAATTTGAAAAATTTCATAGTATTTTTTTTTTTTGCCAGTTTATTTTATAGATATTTAGCCTGCTGTTATGTTTCCACACAAATTATTTTGATACACATGGTGATAGTCCTGCTGGACCTGACCCCTGGATGCCACAGACTTAACTACACGTTCTTGCTGCTGTTGCTATTTCCACTTGCTAATAACTGTAGAAATCTATGTAAATGGTGTGTAATGTTACATCAACAGCAGTGTAAAGTTTTAGAGTCACAATCGTATGAACCGCTACAACATTATTTTTTATGTACCCAATAATTTTTTTTAAATGACAGCAGTCCACTTTGGTTTAAAATACATTCAGTTCTAGCGTTTAGCTCATCAGTCCTGTTGGAAGTAAACTCGTTTATCTAAACTGGGATAATCAAGACGCTATCTGCAACAGGTAAATGATTAATAACTTCTACACAGAAACCTGCTTCTAAATGGCTGATCTGTCCCTTTTAGTTACGCTTTTTGTATTTCGTGGTGATTATTGAAAACATCAGATTGAATGTCTCTGTTCCTACAGCTCAAGAAAAAAGCAACATGCACCCCAGTCACTCCTTCAACACAAGCCTCAGCCCACCATCTGTTCCTCCTCCACCACACGAGGACCATGAGGGTCGTCACATGAATGAGCAGTCAAACGTAAAGGATCACACTTTGATTAACTTTACTACAGCCGAGCCCAGCTGCGACACTATTACAATGCACACAGGTAGAGTCAAACAACAATCACTGCTCCACTTTGTGTCTAGCAGCAAGTAAAAAAAAAAGTATGGATTTTAGGTGTTTTGTGCACTAAATGAAAGTTGACTTTTTTTTTTTTCCAGCATCATCACCAAGAAAGGTCTATGATACCCGGGACGCTGCCCACAGCTCCGTCACACAGATCGACTTTGATGACGACAAGTACCGGCGGCGACCGGCCCTGAGTTGGTTTGCACAGATTTTAAAGTAAGTACGATGATACTTGGTTAATGACTTGGATCGTCTTCAGGTGCTTTGGTACAGAGAAATAGATTATAGGAGTAACTTGTAATTTCTTGGTTATTTCAGAAACCGGACGGGTGGAAAGCGGACGTCTCTGTCCTGGAAGCAGCGAGTCTTCGTGCTCCTTTTGGTCGGAGTTCTCGGGTTCTTTACGTTGATAATTGTCATGGCTAAACTTGGACGTGCCTCAGCCGGCTCAGACCCAAATTTAGATCCTCTTCTCAACCCCAACATTCGTGTGGGAAAAAACTGAAAACAAGCAGTGATTCACACACACACACCCCTCCTTTAACTTGTGCGTTACACAGCATAAACCAATGTAGTGGCCTGAAATGGGACCACATGAAACACAATCAGCCCAGCAGAGGGAGCTGCTCAGCCCACTTTAAGAGGCCACAGGAGCATGTCACAGGTTTTCAGACTGGAAAGAAACATTTCTTGCACTGATCAGGAGCTCTCCTGTAATATCTGTGATCCACAAACTCCAACAGTGATCAAGACTCTGTGCAAGTTCACACTTTTATTGTTTTGGTGATGAGGGGGACAAGCTGAATTCAGCTTCTTTTTTTTTCTGAGGGATTTTTCTAAGTTAATTAATTTTTCTTTTTTTCCCCACAAATTCACTTTAAATAGTGTTGATGTTGAGCAAACATTTCCGTGTTTAAGACAGAGGTGTCAGAACGTACTACACTGTTTGCAGTGTAACATTTACACAGTTATAAAGTGAGTTGTTTGCTGATAAGGGACTTTGCGCCTTTGTCCTTCACAGCAGATGAGGACACAGTCAGCTCTGCACATACTACTAGGAGTGTCGGGAATACTCCTAAAAACTGAGTGCTTTGCTTTTAGTTTTGCCATATATACTGTATGTACATTTCCTTGATGATTTTGGCTGTGCATTAAATGGGGATATCACAAAAAATGATAATTTCAGTTGATTTGTTTGTTTAAAGCTAAACTTGAGAACTTTTCTGAAGTTTCTTGTGCAGCAATATTTAAAACTAATATGACTAAAAGTCTTGTCCTTGAAGGAATGCACATCGCCTGCTGCCTTTATAAACCAAACTTATCTTGGCATTGGAAAGGATCGTTACAGTATATAGATGTTTTGGTCAAACCTTATAAATTACGTTTTAAGATTGATTTATGGTTGTTTGAGTGTTGGCTGAGATTCATGAGGTGTTTGCTGTAAATGTTAATGAGTTGAAGACTTCCAATAAATGATTACTTTCCAAGTTTTACAAAGTTGTGTCCAGGGCTTTATTAAATATTTAGCCAAGAGACCGGATTGATTTTAACAACTAATGTAAATGTAAATTAAAATAACCAACAATGTGTAGTCAGAGAGATGTGCTGTAAGAGTGACAGATAGCTTCAAGATGGAGATGGGAGTGCATCAAGGATCGGCTCTGAGCTCCTTCTTGTTTGCTCTGGTGATGGACCGACTAACAGATGAGGTCAGGCAGGAATCCCCGTGGACTGAAGTGCAGCTGACATTGTAATCTGTGGTGAGAACAGGAAACAGGTGGAAGAGAACTTGGAAAGGTGGAGGTATGCACTTGAAAGAAGAGGAATGAAAGTCAGTCGTAGTAACACAGAGTACATGTGTGAATGAGAGGGAGGCGGGTGGAACAGTGAGGCTACAAGGAGCAGAGGTCACAAAGGTGCAGGACTTCAAGTACTTGGGGTCCACTGTCCAGGAACATGAGTGTGTTAAAGAGGTGAAGAAGAGAGTCCAGGAAGGATGGAGAAAAGTTTCAGGAGTGATTTGTGATAAAAAGGTGTCAGCAAAGGAAAAGTTTGACTGTGGTGAGACCAGCTATATTATATGATCTGGAGACCGAGACATGGACAAAAAGTCAGGAGACAGAACTGGAAGTGGCAGAAATGAAGATGTTGAGGTTCTCCTTAGGAGTGACAAGGATGGATAAGATTAGGAAAGAGATCATCAGAGATACAGCGCAGATTGAACAACTGGGAGATAAAGTTAGAGAGACCAGACTGAGATGGTTTGGACATGTTCAGAGGAGGGACAGTGGTTTGGACATGTCCAGAGGAGGGACAGTGGGTATATTGGTTGAAGGATGTTAGAAATGCAGCTGCCAGGAAAAAGATAAAGACGAGATCTATGGATGCAGTTAGAGAGGACATGAAGGTAGTTGGAATGAGGACAGAGGATGAAGAGGACAGAGATGGAGGAGGATGAGTCGCTGGGGCAATGCCTGAAAAGGGAACGGCTGAAAGAAGTGTAGCACTCAGTGTCTAGGGGATCATACTCAGTTACTACCACACCAAACCTTAGCTCAGTATCTGTAAAACTGCCTGTGATGTAGCCATTTTTCTGTTTTATAATGTCACTTGGTTGTGGTGGCCATCTTGAATTCAGTTGTCCATGCTATTTAAAATGTTCATTAAATTAGTTTTTATTTATATTTATATATTTGGGGCTGCTGTGGCTGAGTGTTTAGAGCAGTTGTCCTCCAATGCAAGAGTTGGGGGTTCAAATCCACTAGCAGTCACATTTTGAAGTGTCCCTGGGCAAGACACTGAACCCCTCATAGCCTCTGATGTGTCCCATCGGTGTATGAATGTGATCTGAAGCACTGATTAGTCTCTTTAGAATGATTTGTTCAATTAGCTTTGTAGAGATCTAGTAGAGTGCTGTATGAAAGGGTAAATGAGGACACAGATTGTAGTGTAAAGCGCTTTGAGTATCTTGAAATAAGATAGAAAGGCGCTATATAAGTACAGGTCCTTCTCAAAAAATTAGCATATTGTGATAAAGGTCATTATTTTCCACAATGTAATGATAATCAATCAACCTTTATTTATACAGGTAAATCCCATTGAGCCTCAAGGACTCATTTACAAGAGAGACCTGATTTCAACAAAGAAAGATGACAACAATGGACAACAGCAACAACAATAAACAGTAAAAAAAAAAGCATACTACAGTTTGTTTGTTTTTTTTGTTGTTTTTTTAACAAATAGGATGGCTAAAAGGAAAAGGTAACAAAACAAAAAACAGCTAGATTCCAAGACAAATGTAGAAAACTAACAACAGGAACATGTCTGCACTGGACCCTGCCAGGTGTCCAACAGATTCTTAAAGACACTTAGAGAGGTCAAGGTCGAGAGCTTCAAATCTTTTTGTGAACCTGTTGTTGTTAAACATGAAACTTTCATATATTTCAGATTCATTGCACACCAACTGAAATATTTCAGGTCTTTAATTGTTTTAATACTGATGATTATGGCATACAGCTCATAAAAACCCAAAATGCCTGTCCCAAAAAAATTAGCATATCATGAAAAAATTCTCCAAACAAGCTATTAACCTAACCATCTGAATCAACGACATAACTCTAAACACCTGCAAAAGATTCCTGAGGCTTTTAAAAACTCCCAGCCTTGTTCATTACTCAAAATCACAATCATGGGTAAGACTGCCGACCTGACTCCTGTCCAGAAGGCCATCATTGACACCCTCAAGCAAGAGGGTAAGACACAGAAAGAAATTGCTGAATGAATAGGCTGTTCCCAGAGTGCTGTATCAAGGCACCTCAGTGGGAAGTCTGTGGGAAGGGAAAAGTGTGGCAGAAAACGCTGCACAACGAGAAGAGGTGACCGGACCCTGAGGAGGATTGTGGAGAAGGGCCGATTCCAGACCTTGGGGGACCTGCGGAAGCAGTGGACTGAGTCTGGAGTAGAAACATCCAGAGCCACCGTGCACAGGCGTGTGCAGGAAATGGGCTACAGGTGCAACAGCGGCAGAAGCGCCTGACCTGGGCTACAGAGAAGCAGCACTGGACTGTTGCTCAGTGGTCCAAAGTACTTTTTTCGGAGGAAAGCAAATTTTGCATGTCATTCGGAAATCAAGGTGCCAGAGTCTGGAGGAAGACTGGGGAGAAGGAAATGCCAAAATGCCAGAAGTCCAGTGTGAAGCACCCACAGTCAGTGATGGTCTGGGGTGCCATGTCAGCTGCTGTTGTTGGTCCACTGTGTTTTATCAAGCTCAGGGTCAATGCAGCTACCTATCAGGAGATTTTGGAGCACTTCATGCTTCCATCTGCTGAAAAGCTTTATGGAGATGAAGATTTCATTTTTCAGCACGACCTGGCACCTGCTCACAGTGCCAAAACCTCTGGTAAATGGTTTACTGACCATGGTATTACTGTGCTCAATTGGCCTGCCAACTCTCTGACCTGAACCCCATAGAGAACCTGTGGGATATTGTGAAGAGAAAGTTGAGAGACGCAAGACCCAACACTCTGGATGAGCTTAAGGCCGCTATCGAAGCATCCTGGGCCTTCATAACACCTCAGCAGTGCCACAGGCTGATTGCCTCCATGCCACGCCGCATTGAAGCAGTCATTCATGCAAAAGGATTCCTGAACAAGTATTGAGTGCATAACTGAACATGGTTATTTGAAGGTTGGCGTTTTTTGTATTAAAAACACTTGTCTTTCATTGGTAGGATGAAATATGCTAATTTTTTGGGACAGGCATTTTGGGTTTTCATGAGCTGTATGCCATAATCATCAGTATT